CGGCCACGCCCACCAGCACGGCCACGCCCACCAGCACAGCCATGACCACCAGCACAGGCCAGTGGACTTCCGGGCCCACCGAGGTCAGCACCACGGCCACCACCCAGTCACGCCCCTCGTCCCCCAGGATCACAGAGAGTGTCCCAGCCACCCAGACAGCTGGCACCTCCCTCAGGACCACCCAGTGGCGCTCTGTCCCAAGTCCCTCTGCCTCCACAGGGACCCTGACCACAACTGCCAAGCCAGCCTCATCCAGTGCCCCCCATGTGGCCACCTCCCCCATTCAGACCACCCCTGGGACCCCGTCCTCCAGTCCCACCATTGGGACCTCCCTGCCCACCAGCTCCCTGAGGCCGACCCCGACCTCTACAACCTCCATGACCTCCACGACCTCTGGGGCCTGCACGCCACGGTGCACGTGGACAGACTGGTTCGACGAGGACTACCCCACCCCAGTTGCCGATGGCGGGGACTTTGAGACCCTCTCTGTCCTCCGCGCTGCCGGCCACAGCTTCTGCGAGCAGCCTCAGGACATCGAGTGCCGAGCAGAGAAGGCGCCTGACAGGAGCCTGGAGGACGTGGGCCAGGTGGTTCAGTGTGACGTGCGCTTCGGGCTGGTGTGCCGCAACCGAGACCAGGGCGGCCTCTTCAGGATGTGCCTCAACTACCACGTGCGTCTGCTCTGCTGCGACTACAGCCACTGCCCCTCCACGCCCGGCACCACGGCAGCCCCCTCCCCGTCTTCAGGGAGCACCCTCACCCCAGTGATGTCCACCACCAGGGCCACCACCCTGGTGAGGCCCTCCACGGCCTCCAGCAGCACCTCCCAGGCCAGAGAGACCCTGCCCAGACGCACCAGCACTGTGATCAGCACCACCAGGGCCACCTCCAGCCCAGGGGCCAGCACCAGACCCTCCCCATCGCCCCCCATTCCCGTGACCACCAGCTCCCTGCCGGGCACCACCCCGGGCCCTTCTACAGCCGTCCCCATGGCTACAGGCTCCACGATGAAGGCTCTGACTTCTCCCATCACGACCTCCAGCACCACAACCTCAGTGGCCACGCCCACTGCCTGTCAGCCTCGCTGTGCCTGGACCGACTGGCTGGACCAGAGCTACCCCATGCCCGGGGCCTCCGGAGGGGACTTTGAGACCTACGCCAACATGCAGGCAGCCGGCCGGCCCGTCTGCGAGCGGCCCCAGGGCCTGGAGTGCCGGGCCTCGTCCCTGCCCGACGTGCCCCTGGAGCAGCTGGGCCAGGTGGTGCTGTGCAGGCTGGAGGAGGGCCTGGTGTGCCGCAACCGCGACCAGGCCGGCCGCTTCAAGATGTGCTTCAACTACCAAATCCGCGTGCTCTGCTGTGACGACTACAGCCACTGCCCCAGCACGGCCATGACCACCAGCACGGCCATGACCACCAGCACGGCCACGCCCACCAGCATGGGCCAGCGGACTTCCGGGCCCACCGAGGTCAGCACCACGGCCACCACCCAGTCACGCCCCTCGTCCCCCAGGATCACAGAGAGTGTCCCAGCCACCCAGACAGCTGGCACCTCCCTCAGGACCACCCAGTGGCGCTCTGTCCCAAGTCCCTCTGCCTCCACAGGGACCCTGACCACAACTGCCAAGCCAGCCTCGCCCAGTGCCCCCCATGTGGCCACCTTCCCCCATATCAGACCACCCCTGGGACCCCGTCCTCCAGTCCCACCATTGGGGACCACCCTGCCCACCAGCTCCCTGAAGCCAACCATGACCTCCATGACCTCCACGACGTCCATGACCTCTACAACCTCCACAACCTCCATGACCTCCGTGACCTGCACCCCACGGTGCATGTGGACTGACTGGCTTGACGCTGACTATCCCACACCCGGCCAGGACGGCGGGGACTTTGAGACCCTCTCTGTCCTCCGCGCTGCCGGCCACAGCTTCTGCGAGCAGCCTCAGGACATCGAGTGCCGAGCAGAGAAGGCGCCTGACAGGAGCCTGGAGGACGTGGGCCAGGTGGTTCAGTGCGACGTGCGCTTCGGGCTGGTGTGCCGCAACCGCGACCAGGGCGGCCTCTTCAGGATGTGCCTCAACTACCACGTGCGTCTGCTCTGCTGCGACTACAGCCACTGCCCCTCCACGCCCGGCACCACGGCGGCCCCCTCCCCGTCTTCAGGGAGCACCCTCACCCCAGTGACGCCCACCACCAGGGCCACCACCCTTGTGGGGCCCTCCACGGCCTCCAGCGGCACCTCCCAGGCCAGAGAGTCCACCACCAGGCCCTGGGAGACCCTGCCCAGACGCACCAGCACTGTGATCAGCACCACCAGGGCCACCTCCAGCCCAGGGGCCAGCACCAGACCCTCCCCATCGCCCCCCATTCCTGTGACCACCAGCTCCCTGCCGGGCATCAACCCCGGGCCCTTCTACAGCCGTCCCCACGGCTACAGGCTCCACGATGAAGGCTCTGACCTCTCCCATCACGACCTCCAGCACCACAACCTCAGTGGCCACGCCCACTGCCTGTCAGCCTCGCTGTGCCTGGACCGACTGGCTGGACCAGAGCTACCCCATGCCCGGGGCCTCCGGAGGGGACTTTGAGACCTACGCCAACATGCAGGCAGCCGGCCGGCCCGTCTGCGAGCGGCCCCAGGGCCTGGAGTGCCGGGCCTCGTCCCTGCCCGACGTGCCCCTGGAGCAGCTGGGCCAGGTGGTGCTGTGCAGGCTGGAGGAGGGCCTGGTGTGCCGCAACCGCGACCAGGCCGGCCGCTTCAAGATGTGCTTCAACTACCAAATCCGCGTGCTCTGCTGTGATGACTACAGCCACTGCCCCAGCACGGCCACGCCCACCAGCACGGCCCTGCCCACCAGCACGGCCACGCCCACCAGCACGGGCCAGCGGACTTCCGGGCCCACCGAGGTCAGCACCACGGCCACCACCCAGTCACGCCCCTCGTCCCCCAGGATCACAGAGAGTGTCCCAGCCACCCAGACGGCTGGCACCTCCCTCAGGACCACCCAGTGGCGCTCTGTCCCAAGTCCCTCTGCCTCCACAGGGACCCTGACCACAACTGCCAAGCCAGCCTCGCCCAGTGCCCCCCACGTGGCCACTTCCCCCATACAGACCACCCCTGGGACCCCGTCCTCCAGTCCCACCATTGGGACCACCCTGCCCACCAGCTCCCTGAGGCCGACCCCGACCTCCACCACCTCCACCACCTCCCTGACCTCCACGACCCCTGGGGCCTGCACGCCACGGTGCACGTGGACAGACTGGTTCGATGAGGACTACCCCACCCCGGTTCCCGACGGCGGGGACTTTGAGACCCTCTCTGTCCTCCGCGCTGCCGGCCACAGCTTCTGCGAGCAGCCTCAGGACATCGAGTGCCGAGCAGAGAAGGCGCCGGACACGAGCCTGGAGGACGTGGGCCAGGTGGTGCTGTGCGACGTGCGCTTCGGACTGGTGTGCCACAACCGTGACCAGGGCGGCCTCTTCAGGATGTGCCTCAACTACCACGTGCGTCTGCTCTGCTGCGACAGCCACTGCCCGTCCTCAACCCCGGAGACTCCCAGGTCTCCCTGGCTCCCTAGCACCCCTGGGCCCAGCGCCTCACCCAGCCCTCTCGTCTCTACCACACCCTGCCGGTGCCGGGCGTTTGGACAGCTGTTCTCACCAGGTGTGTGGAGCCCCGTCCCCTCCCGATGACAGTCCACCCGGCACCCCATTCCGGGGTCTCTGCCCCGCCCCGTGGCAGGTGCTGTGGAGGCCATGCTGGCTGACCGGCGTGTCCGATCTTCCCGATTCCCCCCTCCCCCCAGGGGATGTCGTCTACAACAGGACGGACAAGGCCGGCTGCCACTTCTACGCCATCTGCAACCAGCACTTCGAGCTGGACCGCTTCCAGGGCGCCTGCCCCACCTCCTCGCCCGTGGAGCTCCCGACGACGACCTGGGTGCCCCTGACCTTTCCAGCTCCTGGCTGTGACCTCGTGGACCCTCCCCGCCAGGTGCGTGCCGCTCCTCCCCGCCTTGCCTGCTGTCCTGTGCACGCAGTCAGGGGCTGCCGCTGGCTCCCGTGGGGCAGGCCCCAGCCCCGGGGTGACTCCTCCAGGGGACGCCCTGTCCGGAGGGAGGCGGGGGCCTGGGGCTGGGCTCCCGAGGCCGTGGCAGGTGGCCGAGCTGTGCCCTGCTGCCCGCAGGTGAATGAGACCTGGACGCTGGAGGACTGCACGGTGGCGCGGTGTGAGGGTGACAACCGCATCGTCCTGCTGGAGCCGCAGCCTGTGGCCCAGGTCTCCTGTGTGAACGGACACCTGCCGGTCAAGGTGCAGAGCCCGCAGGAGCCCTGCCAGTTCCACTACGAGTGCGAATGTGAGGCCCGGGCCAGGCGGGGTGGGGCGGGGCTGGGCAGGGCGGGGCAGTGCTGACCGGCACACAAGGGGTCGCCCGGTGCACTGGGGGCGGAAATGGGCCTGGAGGGCCCTCCTCCCCGGGGTCCTGAGTGCCCTTCACGGGGCTGCCCCAGGAGGGACCACGGACAGGGGCTCCCCAGCAGCGGGAGGGATTGTCCCATCCCCAAGGCCGCTCCTCCCTGAATCTCCAGGGAAGGTCCTTCCTGCCTCGTCCCGTTCTGTCCGGGCCCTGGCCTCTCACCGTCGCTGCCCTGCCTTCAGGCGGCACCTCCCCTCCCCTCCCCTCCCCGGCCCCTGGGAGGGCACTCACCACTGGGTGGAGGGCCCCCGGGTGCCCCAGGAGGTCCCATCTGCAGCTGAGCGGCAGGTCCCTTCCTAGGGCCTCCAGGGCCCACTCGCCCGTTTCACCAGGGGCGCAGAGGCCGGGGTGAGACACCCCGAGGCGGCCGTGCATGAGGCACTGGGTGAGGGACTGTGTGTGTCCGCAGGCTCCTGCAGCAGCTGGGGGGACTCCCACTACGTCACCTTCGACGGCACCCCCTATTCCTTCCGGGACAACTGCACGCACGTGCTCATGCGGGAGATCCGGCCCCGGCACGGGAACCTCACCATCCTCCTGGACAACCACCACTGCGGGGCCGCGGCCTCCGCCAGCTGCCCCCGCGCCCTCAGCGTCCGCTACGAGTCCTCGGAGGTCGTCCTCACCACTGAGACCACTGCCAGCGGGCAGGAGGAGGGCCTGGTGCGTGCGTGCAGGCACGGCGGGCAGGACCCCGCCTGAGGGGAGCCCCTGCACCTGGTGGGCTGAGGGGATGGGCCCCGACCCCCAGTGACGGTCCCCACTGCGCCTCCCCCGCCCCCCAGATCCTGTTCGACCGCGTGCGGGTGAGCCAGGGCTTCAGCAAGAACGGCGTGAGCGTGTCCATGACGGCGAGCAGCACGATGCGCGTGGACATCCCGGCCGTCGGGGTCAGTGTCACCTTCGACGGGCAGGTCTTCCAGGTCCAGCTGTCCTACAGCCACTTCAGCCACAACACCGAGGGCCAGTGCGGTGAGCGGGACACGCGGGCCCTGCAGGGCGCCACCTGCTCCTCCCTCCGCGTCCTGCCCGGGGTCCCCAGGTGGCATCTCCACCCCCCAGATTTCATC